AGGGTGAAGGAGCTGACCTACCAGGTAAGGCTGGAGGCTTCTTTGTGTGGACATATTCTTTTTCCAGGACATCAAAATGTTGCACATAGTCTTCTGAGGGATTTCTTTCTGTACCTCCGTCAGTGTCACACTTTACAGGATTTTGGTCTCTGTCTTTCTGGACAGCGTAAGGAACCTTACTCCCTATGTTTCACATTTATAGTATTTGTAGTAAGAGGCAAATTAGGCTTTCTATTATTTGCCATTCTCTGTAGTCTGAAGAAGACCGGAAGAATGTTCTCAGGCTCCAAGATCTAGTGGACAAGCTGCAAATGAAAGTGAAGTCCTACAAGAGACAAGCTGAGGAGGCTGTAAGTACCACCCTGGCCAAAGCCAGAATTCCTTCTAGTAGAAATGGAATTCTTAGCATCTTCTTCTGTCCAATTTTTTGAAACCTTGACTGTGATGCATTTGCTGCTACAAGAGAGTGGGAATGTAAGAGTAAGAATTTCTGGTTTTGTGAGGAACTATATTTCCCCGTCTCTGTTTTCCTCTAAGCCTCTCTTCTCACCTCTGTTTCTTGTTCCCTACGCTACCCCAGGTGTCAGAGGCAGCTTCTAGTCTGACTGTTGAGAACTCTGCCATTAACACTGCCTAGACAATGCTGTGTGTAATGTGGTCTTCTTGACATTCCGATGTTCTTTTTCTTCTGGCAAACTTAACATCCTGAGCAGCTTCTTATCTTGTTTCTGAACCTGGCCTGCTTGCCCAGCTGTGGCATTTGAATGTTTGTTTGCCCAATCTTCAGATATTAAGTCTCACTGCTTGTTGTTTTCACAACTCTCCCTGCACAGGAGGAGCTGTCCAATGTCAACCTCTCCAAATTCCGCAAGATCCAGCACGAGCTGGAGGAAGCTGAGGAGCGGGCTGACATTGCAGAGTCCCAGGTCAACAAGCTCCGAGCCAAGAGCCGGGAGTTTCACAGCAAGAAGATAGAAGAGGAAGAGTGAGTCTGTCATGAGGCAGCAAAGTGACCTGAGGGCTGCACAAAATGTGAACCTCTCAGTCGCTTTCTTTTGTAATTAGTCTTTGTAGTCATGTCAATGTCTAGAGAATAAAGACTGTAGATTCCTCTGCATATACAGCAGAAGCAGTGCTTTTGTTTGTTACAGTTCAATTCTGTCAAAAAGCTCCAAGCCAAGAGCTGAGAGTTTCGTAAGAAGATAGAAGAGGAAGAATGAGGGTCCCAAGGCTAAAAAGTGACCTGAGGCATGCATAAAATGTAAATCTCAGTGCTGCTGCTTCTGTAACTATCATTTATGTCTAGATAATCAAGACAGTAGAGATTTTTGCAAAGAACAGAGATTAACATGCAAAAAATCTCTCTCCTCCTACTTAAGAATGCACTCTTACCCCTCTTTCCTTATGTGCATGCCCTTACGCTCCACAATCAGCCCTACACAGGCCAGCTTCACATGTACTTCTAAGATATTCCAGCCGAAGTTCAAGGAATCTCATGCAAAGGCCTAAGAAAACCAAACCTTTCTCCAAGCTATTACATCACAGTTTGTGAAATGTTGGACAGTAAAGCTGCACAGAAGCACAGCTGGGTGGTCAGCTTAGTGGGATAACTGAGTGAGGACTATTATACACACAGAGTACATATCTCAAATACAGTGGTGTGTACCTGTACCATCAAAGCAGGGAAAAGGTGCTTAGTGGAGAGCTGTCCTGTGCTGTTGAATTGTGAGAGGCAATCGCCATGGTTAGTCATCCAAAAATCATAAAATAGATCAGACGTAACCATTGTGTTGATACGCTTTGGCAGCCAGCAATGCTGTCTTAGAAGAATGTGTCAGAGGAGGAAAGTACGAAGGGAGATTCCTTAAAGCACATCTGTTCTCTTAATTGTCTGTACAAGCAGAATAGTCATTTTAAGCTGATCCCTGCTAAGGCCAGTCTCCTAAAGGTCTCCTGCTCTCACAAACCAGCATCTTTGCTATGAAATACCTTGTGTTGTCCAAAACGTAGGGGACCAGAAGAGGTTGGATTCCCTGAAGGAAAATATAAGAGACATTGTAACCATAGCTGGAGGCTCTTTCTACCATGCACTGTGTGGGAACACAGCAGAATCAGGCTGGATGAAGGAGTGATACTTGCCACAGCTTCTGGGTTCAGACACCTTTCACCAAAGGGAAGACTTACTGGGTAAAAAAGGGGCAGAAACCACACGGTGATTTTCCTCAAGACCCTCCTTTGTTTTTCACACTACCTTGCTATTTATTTCACAAGCTGCTTAGAGGAGCTGAAGGGCACCCTAGAGTTGAAGGGCATTTGATTTGGCCATAGCAGTATATTTAATCTCTATAATTTGAGTCAAACCCTCCCTTACCTTTCTAGGAGTCTTCACTCTGTCCAGGTGAAGTTGATTGCAGAGTCATCCAAGAACAGGCCTTGGAAACAGTGGTTTTACCAGTGTCCAGATCCATAGTAAAGGCATAGTTGCCTCCTCACAGAATTCCTGTAGCTCTGCCACCATGCAGAGCAAATCATCGACCTGGTCACATCTTGCACAGTTACCATCCAGCAACACTGAGGCTCTAGTACTCACTACAGACCGGATGGCTACATGTTTTTGAGGGATCTCTGTTTGGGTCACCATGTCCTTTCTGGCCAGCAGAGAGGACTTTGCTTTCTTTGCCCTCTGCCAAGCGGATACCATCCTTGAGCACCTTCTTGGTGACCACTGGCTGAGCTTGACTCTTAAGCTTGCTGGGCTTCTGGGTCCTGCCTGGTGGTCATCACACCTGGTGCTGCCTGCTGCAAGTAAGCTGCTCAGGTCAACAGAGCATACTGGGCCTGTTCATTATCCTATGAATAGATAATTAGCCCAAACATAGTATTCTGAGTTAAGCTGAACTAGACATTCAACATTTACATGTTGATTGCAGATGTAACATAAAATCAAGTACAGCATTGATTGCATAAGGTGTCTAATTACTATCACACTTTACAGATGCGTAAGCAAATTAGATGGTTTGGGACTACATTCAATGTGACTAAGGGCTCTGATAAATTAGAAGTGAAACTGTAAAGGGAATCCTGTTACTGTTAAATAAATTTGCTTTTGAGAAGCCACAGAGAAAATGTGTGAGATTGACTTGGTTGGTATTTTTGGCATACGTGACAAGCTTCAGCAGCTACCTTCAAACTTGCTGTTTATTTAAAGCAAGTGCTAAGCATCTTTGGTCATCCCATCAAAATTGTCAATCCCTAGCTGACCTTCATGTGTCCTTTTTGGATATCTCTTCTAATCCTCCAGCCAGCCTTCAAGTGCTGTGAAAGAACACTGTTGCATGGGGATGAAATTGTTTCTCAGTAAAGAGAAAGGTCCCACTGAATTCTTCACCACTCCCCTCCTTGTGCTGTTGCTGTTGCAGAATATGTGTATCCCCCTCCTTAATTTAGGTGGAGAACACCCCAAGGATCAGCACACTAAATTGGATTTTTCACATGGGGTTCAGTTCCTTCTAATGATAACTTCCTGTCCTCCAGACTAGCATAGGGCATGACTGATTCTCTTCTAGATAATATAAACTTATTAATCCTTTCCTTCTATTTAGCACTGTCACCCTGCAAAAGTAGTGCTGAATGACTCCCCATGTGTTGAGACAGCACCTATTTCTGCTGCTTCATACAGGATACATGTCTTCAGTTCAGTACAATGGTTCCATAGTCCTGTTCATATGATTTTTGAAACCCTCCAGCCCCAGAAACAAGTGTTGCATTTGTATGCCTTTCCTCTGGGATCTAAACTGGATGGCTTCAGTCTTTCTTAGATTTTTCTAACTTCAACTCTAGGCTTAACTTGTTTTGCCCATTTATTGGTCCCTGTGTCTTTCTGTTATCACCTTGGATTACTTCCTATTCCTTAATCAATAACTTTCTGTTGTGGTTTAGCCCCAGCTGGCAACTAAGCCCCACACAGCCACTCACCCCCTCCCCAGTGGGATGGGGAAGCAAATAAGAAGAGTAAAAGTGAGAAAATTCATGGGTTGAGATAAAGACACTTTAATAAAGTAAAGCAAAAGCTGCACACACAAGCAAAGCAAAGCAGGTAACTCCTTCACCACTTCCCATGGTCAGGCAGGCGTTCAGCCATCTCCAGGGAAGCAGGGCTCCACCAAGCATAATGGTTACTTGGGAAGACAAGCACTGTTAACTCTGAATGTTCCCCTTTTCCTTCTTTTCCACACACACCACACCACACCACACACCACACCACACCACACCACCCCCCACAGCTTTATATGATGAGCATGATGCTATTATGGTATGAAATACCCCTTTGGTCAGTTGGGATCAACTGTCCTGTGTCCCCTCCCAACTCCTTCTGCACCCCCAGCCTGCTTGCTGGTGGGGTGGCGTAGGAAGCAGAAAAGTCCTTGATCCTGTGTAAGCACTGCTCAGCAGTAAGGAAAGCATTCTTGTATTTAATCCAGCACAAATCCAAAAAACCAGCCTCATACTAGTCACTATGAACAAAATAAACTCTATCCCAGCCTAAACCATCACACCTTCCTTATCATTAACTTCAGACTCACCCATCCCCCTGCCTCTCTTGGTTTGGCTACGGTCCATTTTACTACTTGGTCATTCATATCATCCCTTGATTCTCATTCCTGAGACTTTTGTTCCTATTCAGATGCTTCCTCTTGCATATGGATTTCCTTCATCTAACAGTGACGCTGCATGTCAGTAGGACCCCTCATGCTCCTCCACATTGCAGACTCAGAGCATTTGCAGCATGCAGAGCCTGTGCCTTCACCTCTCCATCCCTGTGTTTGCTACTACAATACACTGTCTCTTACTCTTCACTTTCTCTGCTCGAGTCAGCATCTGATGTAGCCCTTTTCATCTCCTTTAGCACAGCCTTCTGCTTCCCCCCACCCCCTTCTCAGACTCTCTTGTCAAATTATTTATAGGAGATTGATTCACAGACCTGTTATGTCTAATTATATCCATTTACTTCTAATATGAATGGCAATTCTGCTAGCAGTTAAGATTGCCAAAAATATTTTGACCTAAGAAAGAGGAGGTGGTGGTTACGTTTGCAGATCAGACCCTATAAAATTGTCCTGGGATCTGTGTGTCTTGTCCTTCCTCAGAAATCTCTAAGGTAAGAGTCTCAGAGGCTTTGGACTGGGGAGGAGGGGGATGAAGGGGAACTGGCCTTGCATTTCACAAGCACCAGTGCATTCCTACAGATGTTCATTTTAATTCAGTGGGGTCTGCCAATGTCAGCTGTGATTTTCAGTCAGCTTTCAAGGCATCCATATGTTTTCTGTCTTTAAACTGTCTCTGTGCAGCAGTAAGGAGGAAGTTGCTAACTCTATTTTACTATACTGAACAGATTTCAGTCTGTAAACCATTCATCTTGTGTCACAAAAGATAAGATACTGATTTATTCACTCTTTGGGGACAGAGATGGTAGGACTTCTGCAGAGGTGTGCTGGCAATCCTTGGATCCTTATATTTGTGTCTGTTTTATAAATACAGTATGATAATTGGGGTGGATTGCTGATATCTTTGCCACAAGATTCTCAAAAACAGGTCTTAGTACTAATCACTGCTGCATTGTCTACATTCTCCCTAGGATTCTCCTATAGAGAGCAAATTCCTACATTAACAGACATTAAGTCCTAATAGAAGAAACTGTCCTGAGAAGAAAAACCCCATTAGGAAATAGTTTTCACTTACTTGTCCATAAATTAAATATATTCTTTACCTCAAAAATCAAGGGTCTCTGGCACTAGCTGTGAAGCAACAAGAAAAGACACATGTATTTAAATAATCTTAATGTTTTCTTTTTTTTTCACAGGGAATCATAGGGAATGGGATTAGAATGTTGTGTATCAAAACATCAAAGTGCTAAAAGAAAGCATTTCAGTCTGAGCTTCCTTATAGGTTTGCTTATACCTATGAAAATATTGCACAATTATGATATAAT